CATCCATGGCCCTCTGCTATCTGTCTTTGCTGGCCCCTACCCCAGATCATTGTGCTAAGCTCATGTAGTCTCCTTTCTCCCATCAGGAGTATCCTTCAAGTCAAAATGTCATCACCCTTCTCACCTAAAACCAAGGTGATAATGGTTCTCTTCTCACCACTGGGGCCCTTCCAATGGTTTTATTTATAATCCAGAAACATATTTCCTCCCTGGTTACTGACCATAGATGACTTCACACATTCATTTATGTATTTATTCACTCATTCAATGTGTAGGCACCACTAAAGCCTGATCCAGGCCCTGTTTTATGAGCTGGCCACTGTTGTAGGCTCACATTCAGGGATGTGGATTTTGCTCTTTAAACCACAATGGCACAGCCACATCACAGTACAGTAGCCACTGCCTCTGTCTAGTCATAATGGCAGTGACACAGCAAAAGAGGACTGTTTAGATACTTCACAGCCCCCCCAAGATGAGCTCTCCAGGCTTGGTGTGCATGGCTATCACCTCTCAGCCAGCCTAAACAGTTCACTCTCACAGCGCATGGCCTCTTCCTTTCCATGCTATGCAAAGTCTTCTTGCCCAGCAGCCTCACAAACTAAACCCTAATTGATGTGAGAAGGTGAGCTGAGAGATCCCATTCCTTGGAGATCCTAGCCGCTTTGTCACAACCTTGGGAGGCAAAACTGATTATTGTTGAAGGTAGGACAAGGTTAATGGCCTGCCAGACCCATCAGAATCTGGATCGTTTGAAAACCACAGACCGTTGCCTAACAGGAAAGTCATAGCAACCTCCACAAGGGAACCCTCCAGAGGCAGGCTGGGAGGGGAGGAGCACCTGCTGCAGCCTGCAGTTGGTTATGAGAAATTCCCAAGCACTTAATTTCATTTCTGTTTCATGATATACTGCAGTGCTTATTGGGAAATTAGATAAAGCTAAACTACAGTTTACTTTCAGCTGACAAACACTAAGATCTGAAAAGTAAAACATGTTGGCTCTGAATTCTGGGGAAACAAATTACCTACTGCCCTACAATTTCAGGGATTGTGTGCTTGCTTTGGGGGTGGGTAGGTAGGGGGCATTTGTGAAGGAAAGCAGCCAGTAGAAAGAAAAGACAAAGACTCCAGTGAGGAAAGAAACTTTGCCAAACTCCAAATACATATTGGATCAGGCCAGAACCCACGTGCCCCCTGCTATCACCACCACCACCACCACTGCCACCATCAAGATAAAGAATGGGTCTGTCCTTCCCATGTCTTCTACACTTTTGCTTGCCTCCTTTTGGTTTCAAAGGGGTCCTTGATTCTAATTTTCCCTTAGACTTCACATATAGAAACATTGGACAGGGGATCTCTATAATTAATACTGGCAGTTCCTAATGCTTTAAACCCTTTCACATACTTAATTCCATCTCATACTCACCTTACTCCTGTGAGTTAGGTATCACCCTCCCCCACCCCCAATTTTCCAGGTGAAAAAACTTAGGCTCAAGTATCCTTTGATTTGCCAAGTGTTTTGCACTAGCAGGTAACAGTTAGGAGAGTTTCAAACTCAGGACTTCACCATGGAGAAGTCTGGCTGAGCAGCTATTCTAGTCTCACCAAGTGTGGTGATCCTGTGGGCTTTCTTTCTTTTTTTTTTTATTTTGAGAGAGATACATACACATACATACATAGACACAGACACACAGTATGTCTCCATTTATACAACATGTGGAAAAGGCAAAAGTATACAGACAGAAAACAGGCTTGTGATTGTCAAGGGCTGGGGGTGGCGAGAGGGATGGACTAAAAAGTAATAGGAGGAAATGTAGAGAAGTGAGGGAACTCTTCCCTGTCTTGATTGTGGTGTTGACTGCATGATTAGATGTAATCGCCAAAACTTTGCAATTCTACACTAAAAAGAGTGAATATGACTGTATATTAATTATACCTCTGTAGGTATGACCTTAAAATATTACAGTCATGTTCACACAAAAACCTGCACACAGGTGTTTATAGCAGCTTTATTCACTTGGAAGGAATTAAGGTGTTCTTCAGGAGGTGAAGCAATCGAATATTTTTCAGTGCTAAATAAAGAGTTAGCAAGCCATGAAAAGACATGGAAGAAACTTATATCCACATTATTAAATGAAATAAGTTACTCTGAAAAGGCGGCATACTGCATGGTTCAAAGGCAAAACTATGGGGACAAAAGAAAAAAGCCAGGGGTTGGGAGGATTATTTCTGAGGCCCCTATTTATTTATTCTTCTTTTTTAATTTTTTATTGGATTTTAGGTTTTGGGGTACATGAGCAGAGCATGCAAGACAGTTGCGTAGGTACACACATGGCAGTGTGTTTTGCTTCCTTTCTCCCCTTCACCCACATTTGGCATTTCTCCCCAGGCTATCCCTCCCCACCTCCCCCTCCCACTGGCCCTCCCCTTTTCCCCCCAATAGACCCCAGTGTTTAGTACTCCCCTTTCTGTGTCCATGTGTTCTCATTTTTCATCACCCACCTATGAGTGAGAATATGCGGTGTTTCATTTTCTGTTCTTGTGTCAGTTTGCTGAGGATGATGTTCCCCAGATTCATCCATGTCCCTACAAACGACACAAACTCATCATTTCGGATTGCTGCATAATATTCCATGGTGTATATGTGCCACATTTTTCCAATCCAGTCTATTATCAATGGGCATTTGGGTTGATTCCAGGTCTTTGCTATTGTAAACAGTGCTGCAATGAACATTCGTGTGCATGTGTCCTTATAGTAGAATGATTTCTAGTCCTTTGGATATATACCCAGTAATGGGATTGCTGGGTCAAATGGAATTTCTATTTCTAAGGCCTTGAGGAATCGCCACACTGTCTTCCACAATGGTTGAACTAATTTACACTCCCACCAACAGTGTAAAAGTGTTCCTTTTTCTCCACATCCTCTCCAGCATCTGTTGTCTCCAGATTTTTTAATGATCGCCATTCTAACTGGCGTGAGATGGTATCTCAATGTGGTTTTGATTTGCATCTCTCTGACGACCAGTGACGATGAGCATTTTTTCATATGATTGTTGGCCTCATATATGTCTTCTTTCGTAAAGTGTCTGTTCATATCCTTTGCCCACTTTTGAATGGGCTTGTTTGTTTTTTTCCTGTAAATCTGTTTGAGTTCTTTGTAAATTCTGGATATCAGCCCTTTGTCAGATGGGTAAACTGCAAACATTTTTTCCCATTCTGTTGGTTGCCGATCCACTCTAGTGACGGTTTCTTTTGCCGTGCAGAAGCTGTGGAGTTTCATTAGGCCCCATTTGTCTATTTTGGCTTTTGTTGCCAATGCTTTTGGTGTTTTGTTCATGAAGTCCTTGCCTACTCCTATGTCCTGGATAGTTTTGCCTAGATTTCCTTCTAGGGTTTTTATGGTGCCAGGTCTTATGTTTAAGTCTTTAATCCATCTGGAGTTAATTTTAGTGTAAGGTGTCAGGAAGAGGTCCAGTTTCTGCTTTCTGCACGTGGCTAGCCAGTTTTCCCAACACCATTTGTTAAACAGGGAATCCTTTCCCCCTTGCTTGTTTTTGTCAGGTTTATCAAAGATTGTATGGTTGTAGATATGTGTGTTGCCTCCGGTGTGAGGCCCCTATTTACACTGTACACTCTTACTATACTTGCTTCTAGTCAAATAATCTCATTCCCTCTTTCTCCACCTGCCTTCTCCCCACCACACCCACAGGCCCACACACATTTTCCAGTTAGCCCTTTGCAACGGGCAAGCACCCAGGACTTAAGTGTGCATTGCGGGTGGTAAAGATGGAGGACCAGACCTAGAAAAACAAAGAAGCAAATTATCGTTCAAAGGGGAACCTCATCCAATTTTGTGTCCTGGAGTTAATTCTTGTCCTCCTTGTACTTCTTGTTTTAAGTTGAAATAGCTACATATACCACACACCCATTTCCCACAAATGTAAAACAAACCACAGACAAAAAACTTCTGAGGTTATTTCCCAGCTGAACAAAATCAAAAATAGATGAGAAACATTACAGAGATTTAGCTCCTGCGACATTTTCAGTTTTATCAAAACTGTTCATCAGCGTGTCCTCTCAACTTCTGACCCGAGTTTTACCAACTTCCGTAGCATTCCTCACTGAAGTCACTGTTTCTTCCACACCTTCTCCTTCCTTACTTAAGTATCACTTGCTCACTCGTAACAGTTTATAGTTTTCCGTCTGTTTATTTACAGGTCAAATTTCATATCTGAGGGCGGTAAGGCTGTTTTCCAGTAGGCTTTTAACAAATCATATCAGACCAAAGACAAGCCGGCATCTAAATGTAATATTAACCTGGCTATTTTTTAAAGCATATTTATAGCTATTATGTCTCTTTCAGGTAGCAACACTTCCCTTCCTGGTTTTTGTGATCTCAAGAAAACTTCTCAGTCTCTCTCTAAACCCCAATTAAAGGAACATAAGGCTGGGCACCATGGCTCATGCCTGTAATCACAGCACTTTGGAAGGCCAAGGCAGGTGGATCACTTGAGGCCAGGAGTTTGACACCAGCCTAGCCAACATGGTAAAACCTCACCTGTACTAAAAATACAAAACTTAGCTGGGCATGGTGGTACATGCCTGTAATCCCAGCTGCTCAACAGGCTGAGGTAAGAGAATCACTTGAAGCCAAGAGCCAGAGGTTGCAGCGACCCTGGCTCACGCCACTGCACTCCAAAACTTTTTTCTAATTAGCTGGGTGTGGTGGCACATGCCTGTGGTCCCCAGCTGCTCAGGAGGCTGAGGTGGGAGGATCGCTTGAGCCCAGGAGGCTGCAGTGAGCCATAATCATGCCACTTGCACTCCAGCCTGGGCAACAGAGTGAGACCTTGTCAAGGAAGGCGAAGGGGAAGGGGAAGGGGAAGGGGATGGGAAAGGAGAAAGAAGGAAATAATGAAGACCTAACAATGTTTTTGAAGGAGAAAGATGAAATAACACATGCAAAAGTGTTTCGGATCCTTCCTCTTTTTCCGGCTGGAACCATGGAGGGTGTAGAAGAGAAGAAGGTGGTTCCTGCTGTGCCAGAACTCTTAAGAAAAATCGAAGGAATTTCACAGAGCTGAAGATCAAGTGCCTGAGAAAGAATTTTGCCCAAAAGATGCTTTGAAAGGCAAGGAGGAAGCTTATCTATGAAAAGGCAAAGCACTATCACGAGGAATACAGGCAGATGTACACAACTGAAATTCCAATGGCGAGGATGGCAAGGAAAGCTGGCAACTTCTATGCACCTGCAGAATCCAAACTGGCATTTGTCATCAGGATCAGAGGTATCAGTGGTGCGAGCCCAAAGGTCTGAAAGGTGTTGCACCTTCTTCACCTTCGTCAAATCTTCAATGGAACCTTTGTGAAGCTCAACAAGGCTTCAGTTAACATGCTGAGGATCGTAGATCCATATATTGCATGTGGGTGCCCAAATCTAAGTCAGTAAATGAACTAATCTACATACGTGGTTATGGCAAAATCAAAAAGAAGCGAATTGCCTTGACAGATAACGCTCTGATTGCTCGATCTCTTGGTAAATACGGTATCATCTGCATGGAGGATCTGATTCATGAGATCTATACTGTTGGAAAACGCTTCAAAAAGCAAATAACTTCCTGTGGCCCTTCAAATTATCTTTTCCACGAGGTGGAATGAAGAAAAAGACCACCCATTTTGTAGAAGGTGGAGATGCTGGCAGCAGGGAAGATCAGATCAACAGGCTTATTAGAAGACTGAACTAAGGCGTCCACCATGATTATTTTTCTAAGCTGGTCAGTTAATAAATAGTACCTGCTCTCAAATTGAAAAAAAAGTGTTTTGGAAATAGTAAGAGCTATAAAATGTAAAAAACTCATTATGTTATGACTGTCTATATTTTCTTGTTGGTAATATGATTATTTAGTACTCACCTTATAGAATTATTGTTAAGGTTAAAGGAAATAAAACAGCAAAGGTGTTTAGTTTCATACTTAACACGTAAGTGTTCAAAAATGTCACCAGCAAGAATAGCAGCATTTCCAAATCCCATGTGGTAAGTAAGGTGCCTCTGGTCATCCCCATTTTATAGCTGAGTAAACCGAGGCTCTGGGAGGTCAAGGAGACTCAGACTAAACTTCAGCCTTTTATGACTCACGGAACATGTTTCCATCCCTGTGGCAGGCTGGTAGCAGAAACCCAGGGGTTGGTGGGTAATGTTGGCAGGTTTTCCTATTTTGAAAGGATAAGTGGGAAGCAGCAAGATCTGGTTCCTCTGGACACATAGCTAAGGATCCACATGAGACATCACCTGCCCTTGTCAGGACTGCCTCATCCGCATCTGCAGCTCAATCATATATTCAGGCAAAATACAAAATTAAAGAAAATGAGGAGAATGGGATGGAGGGAGGCAATCTTCGCCTTTAAATTTTCATTTGTAAACAGCTAAAGAAACAAAGGCCAAAAAAAACAGTGATGAGTTTATCTACAAATACTAAAACTCTAGACCTTTAGTCAAGAAATACGGGGTCAGTCAAACTTTGGAAACCTTCAAATGATCTCATAGTTTAGGTTTACCAAAAAGCTGGTCCGGGCATGTGGATGGTGGGAGAGGGGCAGAAAAAGCCAAAAGACCAGATCTGTGCACGTGATCTGACAGGTTTGAGAGCTGCTTCTGGTAGGAAAAACAAAAGGCTCCCCAGGAAAGCCTCTTCCCATCCAGCTTTAGTTTGTCCAAAAAGAAGAAGGGAAAAAATAACTAAAGTCTTCAGCCAAGAACACCAGTAGGGGAATTAAAGAGCTGGGCACACAATAATTTTAAGTAACGTCAGAGGAGATTTAAATAGCAAACATCAGCAGAAAAGAATGGGGAAACCTCCAGTGCACTGACTTCATTGATACCCCATTTATCAGCAATTACTGACTCCATTAAAGGCCGAGTTTACAGCAGAAAGAGAAGCAGAGCCTAAAATATGTCCCAGCAGATGGACGGAGAGTGTCGGTGATGCCGTATTTCAAAGGCATCTGCAACGTTGTTATCATTGAACGTGGAGTCAGAGAGGCAGCAGACAAACAGCGGCCCAAGAGCCAGCAAATGATTTACTTGACCCTGGATGGGTAAAACTGACAGCAAAAACCTCATTAATTCCTCAGGTCACTCTGGAAGACATTAATTTGGTTTGGACTCACGACGAGGGGAGATTTTCCAGACATACACCAGGAATTATGAAATCTCCATGGCCAGAGAAAGTATGTCCAAATCACTTTTTGCATAAATCATGCTGACTTTCTGAAGAAGGATAATATGCTTAATCAAGGGAGTTATGGAACTTCTTGTGCTTATTAGACAGAAAATATAACAGTATTTTATTTGGTTATCAGTTGTGGGAGAGAGATTTTTTTTTTCTTCCTCTTTAAGCTAAGGTCTTTTCCTGCCAGCATGGAAGAGATCCTTTGTAAGAGCTGGAAGAACTCAGATGTGCAAATAATTTGTTCATGCAAAAATAGCTTTTCTTTTTTTTTCTTCTATTTTCAAATAGGCATGGACATTGTGTGTGCCTCTCTTCTGAGTCCCAGCCAAGGTGTCAGCCTTCCCACCTTATCTAGAACTTTCTCAATACTGAACACACACCTATAAATAACAATCTTAGTGACTGGTGGTTTTGTTTTGTATATTTTGATGGTGTGGGCCAAAACTAAGAAGTCTGGTATTGAGACAACTTGGGTTGAATTACTAAGTGTATAATCCTAACCAGAAAAACCTCTCTGTTCTCTCTCCAAGTCTGTGTGAGTCTGTGCACAGGCACATATAAGAAGAACCAAAGTCCTCTGATCCACCAAAATTACACAGGTCACTTCTAATCCTGTGTAATTTAATGACTCTTAATGACTTTTAAGCACTACGGTTTCCCCAAAACCCTGCTTCTTTGTCTCATTGTTAGCTTGGGAAGAAAAACGTGTGAAATATTTTTGGAAAAAAAAGTTGTTGATTAAATCCAGGACAAAGCAGTCAGTTGGCTTATTTACATCAATGAATCACTTCATTTTAGGGACACTGACAGAAAGATTAAGTGATTCAAAATGGTCAGCAGAAAAAGAGAGAGGGAGATTGAGATTGAAATGCTGCTAGACAATGAGCTTATATCTGAGTGTCCGATGCATAAGCCGCAAGCCCTCTTTCCTGATGATATCTTCCCTTGTAAAAGTTACATTCATCATGTTTAAAGCAAGGTTATCTCTGGTTGAAGAGAACATGCATTAGTACATTTTACTCATTCAACACTGAACACTCCCTATCAACAACCATCCGCTTAAAGGGGACAAGGAGAACAAGAATTAATCACAGGAAGAGACAACCTAAGGGAGTTGGACTATAAAATGGAATTCATTAGTAACCCATAAAGTATTACTGCCTTAACTAGCCTTCCCTCTTACACTCTGTTTTCTCTGCCCTGGGGCTGCACTGGCTCGTTCACCTAACAACCTAAAGTCATCCCCGTCGCCTTTTTCACACCCTTTTCTCTTCCCGCTGGGGACAGAAAGAACAGAGAATTTATCACTGAGGTAAATTCAGGATCACAAGGTCTCTGGTCCACAAACTTCTAATTGGAGCTTAACCCTCACATTCAAGGTCTCTTCTCGTCTCACCAGCATCTTAGAACTGCATAAGCTCATCTCATAGGAGACTCACATGTGAGACAGAAAAATGTCCTGGTTAAAAACACAGGTTCAGGATTTTTATAGTCGTAAGCTCATCAGTCCTGGCACATCTCAGCTAGGTGACCTTGAATGAGTCACTTAACCTCTCAGCCTGAGTTTCTTCAGCAGTTAAATGGCAATAATAATAGTACCCAGTAGAGGGGGAGAGTAAGAATAAAATAAGAAAAAGAAACAATTATTTCAATTCCCTGATTACAGCATAAGCAATGCACCTCTGAACAGATGTTGCCTGTTGCGATGATCTGCTCTCGCTTGTATCTTTACAATAGTAAAAATAATATTTCTGTCTATGTCCTGATATTTCAATTGGATTAAAAATATATCTGAAGAAATCCAACCTTATTGCTGTGAAAAACCACGAAACCACAGAGATAAACAATGATAGAGAAAAAAAGGAACAAAGCCTATACAAAGCAACCAGAAAGCAATTAACAAAATGATAAGAGTAAGTCCTCACCTATCAATAATAGCCTTGAACGTAAAAAGATTAAATTCTGCAATTAAAAGACATAGACTGGCTGACAGGATAAAAAAGGAAAAAGACCCAACTATATATAGTGCTGCCTACAAGAAGTTCATAGCAATAAATGCCTACATCACAAAAGCAGAAAGATTTCAAGTAAACAATCTAACAGTGCACTTCAAAGAACTAGAAAAGCAAGAATAAACCAACTCCAAAATTAGAAGGAAACAAATAGAGATCAGAGCAAAAATCAATGAAATTGACACCAAAAAATACAAAAGATTAACAACATTAAAAATTGGTTTTTTGAAAAACATAAAATTGATGTCATTGACTAGACTATGAAAAAAGAGAGAAAATACTCAAATACAACAAGAAATGAAGAAAGAAGACATTACAACTGATAACAGAAACTCAAAGGATTATGAAAGTCTATCGTGAGCAACTATATGCCAACAAATTGGAAAACCTACAGGAAATGCATCGATTCCTGGATACTTACAATGTACCAAGCTTGAACAAAGAAGAAATATAAAAACTGAACAGACCAATAACAAGTAATAAGATTAAATCAATAATAACAATTTTCAACAAAGAAAACTAAAGGACCAGATGACTTCACTGCTGAATTCTACCAAATTTTAAAGCAAAAGTAATAAGAGTTTTTCTCAAACTGTTCCAAAAAATGGGAGAGGAGTGAATTCTTTCAAATTCATTACATGAAACTAGCATTACCATGCTACTAAAACCAGAAAAGGACACAACAACAACAAGAAAAGAAACCTATAGGCCAACATCCCTGATGAATATAGATACAAAAATGCTCAAGAAAACACTAACAAACCAAATCTAGTAGCACATCAAAAAGTTTATACACCAGGATGAAGAGGGATCTATCAGAAAGTCCTAGCTAGAGCAATTAGGCAAGTGAAAAAAAATAAAGGGCATTTAAGTTAGAGGATGTCAAACTGTCCCTATCTGCAGACAACATGATCTTATATAGAGAAAAACTGAAAGCCTACACCAATAATCTACAATCTACAGATTCAATGTAACCTTTATCAACATATCAATGGCATTCTTCACAGAAAAAAAAATCCTAAAATTTGTATAGAACCACAAATGACCTCAAATAGTAAAATTTACAAATTCAGTAAAATTACAGGATATAAAATCAACATACAAAAGTCAGTAGTGTTTCTATACATCAAGAACAAACAAGCTGACAAAAAAAATCAAGAAGCGATCCCATTTATAAGAGCTACAAAAAATAAAATACCTAGAAATAAATTTAGCCAAAGAAGTGAAAGATCTCTACCAGGAAAACTATTAAATACTGAGGAAAATTTTGAAGAGAGCACCAAAAGAGGACAGACATCTAATGCCCATAGATTGAAAGAACCGATATTGTTAAAATGATCATACTACCCAAAGCAATCTACAGATTCAATGTAATCTTTATCAAAATAGCAATGGCATTCTTCACAGAAAGAAACAATCCTAAAATTTGTATAGAACCGCAGATGACCTCAACTTGTCAAAGCAATTCTGAACAAAAAACAGAACTAGAAACTTCACACTATCTGATTTTTAAATATGCTACAAAACAGTATATTTACAAAACAGCATGGTGCTGGCTTAAAAACAGACACATA